GAGAGATCAACAGCAATACAGTCAAGGTCGAGGATTTTAACACTCCACTGACTTCACTAGATAGATCTTCCAGACAAAAAGTCAACACAGAGACAATGACTAAATGGCACACTAGATCAAATGCATTTAATTGATATTTACAGAACATTTCACCCTAAGCTGCAGAATATACATTCCTCTCACGTGCACATGGATCATTCTCAAAGACCACATGTTAGGACACAAAACAAGTCTACAAGTTCAAGAAGATTGAAATCATATCAAGCATCTCAGATCACAATGGCATGAAATTAGAAATCAACTACAGTAAAAACACTCAAAACATTCAAACACATGGAGGCTAAATAACATGTTACTAAACAATAAATGGGTTACCAATAAGATCAAGAAAGAAATCAAAAACTTCCTGGAAACAAGTGAAAATGAATGCACAACAACCCAAAATCTATGGGACATAGCTAAAGCAGTCCTGAGAGGGAACTTCATAGCACTACAGGCCTGCCTCAAAAAGCAAGAAAAATTTTTGATAAGCTCTCTAACCCTACGACTTATAGAATTAGAAAGCTCCCCTGTGAAGCCATCTGGACCAGGACTTTTGTTTGCTGGGAGTTTTTTTATTACTGCTTCAATTTCATCAGTTGTTATTAGCCTATTCAAATTTTCTGATTCTTCCAGATTCAGTTTTACATGATCTCATTCATATGTGGAATCTAATAAACAAAATAGACTGAGAAACATAACAAATTCAGAGACATAGAAACATGGAACAGACTGATGAATCTCAGTGGGAAGGTGGGGGTGGGGAGAGATTAATCAAAGAACTTATATGCAAATATGCATAACCCATGGACACAAACAATAGTGTGGTGAAGGCCTGAGGGGTGGACAGGGCAGATGTAGGATGGAGGGGATCAATGGGGAAAAGAGGGTTATCTGTAATACTTTCAACAATAAAGATAAATTTAAAAAAATTTTTTTTAAAAAGCAACCCAATTAAAAATGTGCCAAGGAAATAAATAGTCATATCTCCAAAGAACATACATGAGTGGTCAATAAGCATATAAAATGATGTTCAACATCATTAGTCATCAGAAAAAAACAAATGAAAACTATAATAATATACCACCTCTTACCCACTTGGATGCCTATAATTTTTTTTTAATGGAAAATAAGTGTTGATGAGATTGTGGAGAAATTAGAACACTCATATACTGTTGGTGAGAATGTAAAATGACGCAATCACTGTGGAAACAGTTTGGCAGTTCCTCAAAAACTTACACATAGAATTATCGTATGACCCAGAAATTCCTAGGCATACAATTGACAGAAATGAAAACATTATGACAACAGAAATGTTGACTGCAGAGTTATTCATAATAGCTAAAAAGTAGAAACAACCCAAATATCTATCAGCTGATGAATGGATAAACAAAATATGTGATAAATCCATACAATAGAACATTATTCACTCATAAAAAGGATTAACCTTGAAAACACTGTACTAACTGAAAGAAACTAGACACGAAAGGTCACATCTTGTATAATTCTATTTATGTCAAATGTCCAGAATAGGCAAATCCATAGGGATCAAAAATAGATTAGTGAGTGCCAGAAAATGGGAAAGGGGGGCAATTGAAACTAATTGCTAATAGGTATGAAGTATCTTATTGGGGACACCGAAGTGTTCTGCAAGTAGTGATGACGGTTGCACAGTGCAGTGAGTATACTAAGAACCACTAAGTGTACACTTTAAAACGGTGAATTCTACGTTATGTGAAGTATATCATCATAAAATATTTTAAATACGGTTAACTATGCCATGTTGTAGAGACTTCTATAAAGGGAAAAAAAACATTTGTAGTAATTAAAAATTTCCCTTCTATTTTACTTTTACCAAATTAGAATACTCTAAAAAAATACTATATTGTATCAGAAAATGCCTAAATTGCAATGCATCTTAGATTATCATGCTTAACACCTGAAACCTTCACATACATATTAAGACTCAAGACTTTAGTTACCTACGTATTTGAGGAAAAAACATCCTTCTCCAAACAAGTAGGATACCTAATGACTTAGAGAAACAATTGTGTACATTTATTCGTAGAGTAACAGTGTCATAAACCACAGATTGCCTCAGTCTTTTTAGTACATGAGATCTGTAATAAATCAGGAAACACCAAAGGGCACTTAACTTAAGGAAATAATAGCTGCCTTTATCATGAAGATACAAATTGATCACTGGGCCTCAAGGAAGTGAACATTCACAAGAATTCTCAATTTCAGAGGGAGCATTTGCTTAGAAGCAATGGGCATTTCATAGCTTCCAGGATGTTGATCATTTATTTTAAAGAACAGACGACACTGTACATCCAAATGAAGCACATGTTTTGTGAGAAACGCATTTCAATTCATGTCAGGAAAAGGCAGTTTGTAAACACCAAAGGTTTGCCAATATCAGTCACTGTCAATTTAGTAATTTTATTTAAGAATAAGGTAAAAACCATTTTAAAATGGAGAATATAACATGTAAACACCTTCAGATATTTAAAAAGTTATGGTTTATACCATTAATTCATTAAGATTGGGCATAATATACCTAGCACCCTTTTAGGATAGCCAACCCTATGTAACTCTATCAAATGAGCTAATTGGGTTTCTCTCTGTTTCTAGAGGTAAATCAGTGTGTCTTAAAAAACAAAACTTCTCTCATCTTCTGATCAACCCTGACTTAGAACCAAAAGCTAAAGTTCCCATAACTATGGGCTTAAAAGCAATATATGTAACGTTAAGTCTCAGAAGCCACTGTTGGACTCCCAGACACTTGTTTTGAGGGCACCAGATACTTAGCACCCCAGGTTATGGGGAAAGCAGACATGCAGAGACATGCGGAGTGTTAGCCCCTTTCCACAATCATAAATTCTTATTTTTCTGTCACTAGCTAAGCTTCTGAAGCTCTAAATTCCATTCTCCTACATTTATATCTAAGAATAAAGCTGAAGGAAACCCTGAGTTTTTAATGGGCCTTGGTTCTCAAGTATTTAAAACATTTCACTTGTCAAGCTTGATCTTACAACACACAAAAAGGAAAATTGGGGGTGGAGGACAGCACCTTTCATAAATTAGAACACTAATAAACAGCTATTAGTTGCTGGTATAAAGGCCTTTGATCTAAATGAAATAAAGGTAAGCTAATGACAGCTTAACTATGCCATGTAGTTCAATGGCTTTTTTTAATGTTTAATAATTTTATGAAAAGCTAACTGGGGTATTGGAACATTTCTTTTCAAAATCTATTTTAGTTTTTCTTCTTAAAAACGTTTTAAAATATTTCATCTCAACATTTTCTTCAAATAAAAGTTTTTAAAAACTGTCCTTGTATAGTCTCTAGAACTTGTTATAAATTCTTAATCATCTCCTACACTTATTTTGATGTCAAATCATAATAAACCAAGTCCTATGAACTACTACTTATCTGTAAAACTGTAGATCAATTACTTAAGAAAATAAGAGTAGGGCCCTGGCTGGTTTTGCTCAGTGGTTAGAGCATCAGCCCACGGACTGAACAGTCCAGGGTTGAATTTCGGCCAAGGGCACGTACCTCGGTTGCAGGCCTGGCCCCGGTTGAGGTGCGAGCAGGAGGCAACCACTCAATGTGTCTCTCTCACACTGATGTTTCTCTCTCTCTCTCTCTCTCCTCCTTCCACTCTCTCTGAAAAAAACAATGGAAAAAATATCCTCCAATGAGGATTAAAAAAAAAAGAAAGAAAGAAAATAAGAGTAGGAAATGGGCCTTGAAAGAGATTTACTCTATCATGTTGCTTTTGCTTATAATTGTTTTTATTTTCACTTGCTATTTAATGCCGCATGAGATGGTCTGCGTTAGTTCACAGCTCCCTCCCTATTCCCACAGAACTGCTGTATACGGGAAGTAACAGTAGCAACATCAAAGGCTAAAATGTAAGTAGTAAATCTCTTTTGTATAAAAATATAATTTTACTTTTTGTTACAATACCTGCTGATTACCTTACTTATATATAAGAGATTGTTGCATGAGTGAAATAAATTATGAGAGCATGTTTTACATACTAAAAAGGAATTATAGCAAATAAATCCAAAATGTGAATGAAAATTTAACTAATCTATGGTTAGGGAATAGTTTCTTTTTCTAAATAAGACTAGGTTGCATTGTCTCAAACAGGAAAATTTTTTAAAAGTAAGAAATAATATTAAGATGTTATGTAGAAACTGAGAGAGATGGGGGAAAGCATGTAATTATTTATACTGAATATTGTTGTGTTGACCAGCATTCAATAAGATGTCAATGTAAAGCTCTATTGCCAATTAGGCATGGCTAGAATAAAAAGCTTGACAATTAAGTTTTATAGGTTATGAAGTGAAAAAGTACTTTAAATTTTTACCATATAAATGGAATAAGAATATTTTTTATCTTGCTTGATTATAGCCACTATTACTAAAGATAACTTATATTCTATGCACTGTTGTAATATGCCAAACCCAAATTTCAAACATTTCAATATTGTAATTTAATGTTCTAAAAAATATGAACACATATATAAAAAGATATATGTAAAAAATGCATAAATAATAATCTGTATTATAAAAATATGTTTCACTGTATAAAACACATATATAAAAAGATATATGTAAAAAATGCATAAATAATAATCTGTATTATAAAAATATGTTTGCTTATAGTATTCCTTTAATAAAGTACCAAAGTTCATAAAATGCTTCCTGTAATATTTATTTGTAGTACAAGAAGTCTATAACAGAAGTTTCTTTCTTTCCTTCCTACGTCAATGTTACAAAGGGTTTTACTATTACATACATGCACAGACTCATATACATATAAAAAGTTAAAATATGAACTTACTTTTCCTTTTGTAAAGACAAATTTACATATGATATTCATTGGTATATCAGAGAGAGCTAGGCAATGACTATTTTCAGTAGCACATAGAGTTCATCCTACTTACTGTTGAAGAGCCCAATGCAGATTTTGGAGACCTAATTATTCCAGCAATTGAATGACGAATAGTCTCAAATTTGGATAGCCTCTCCTTCCTTTCCTGGAGAGATTAAGAAAGAAGCCTTCAGCAATAGTGAATATCCAGTATACATACACAGTGATGCTAGGTATTTAGGTATTTATCCACAGCTCATGTCCATCCATCATGTCTTCCAACTAAATAAAATGTAAACTTCCTAACATTAAAGATGACAAAAAACAAAATGCATATAAACTCTATAGTATTTTATTTTCCTGTTCTCTCAATAAATGTCTTCATTGGGAAAAAGTAAAAAAAGAAATATAAATTCATAAGATGAGCAAAAACAAATACAAAGGAAATTCATGGTAAACCAAATATTAACATGCAGGGGGCAAAAAGACACAAGCTACAAAAAACCAGTCTCATGCAGAAGATTTCAGACAGCACTTGTGGTCATGAGGGATTTTCAAGGAAAAAGGGAAAACAGGAGGAGAATTATATATAGAACACATTTTTAGACAGTGAATTCCACTTAAGAAGCTAGAAGGTTTCCCAAAGATTCACATGATGATGATGGCAATGTCGGCAACAGAGGAGAGAGTGCACCGCTAAGGGCCGCCCACCCAGACTGCTGTTTGCCACAGGAGGCGNAAAAAAAGGAAAAAGGGAAAACAGGAGGAGAATTATATATAGAACACATTTTTAGACAGTGAATTCCACTTAAGAAGCTAGAAGGTTTCCCAAAGATTCACATGATGATGATGGCAATGTCGGCAACAGAGGAGAGAGTGCACCGCTAAGGGCCGCCCACCCAGACTGCTGTTTGCCACAGGAGGCGTATTTCTGAGGATCGTATACCACCATTGAAGGAAACTTCTCCTTAAGATTTCAAATCTGTAGATTCACTTTTACAAACACAAGTGAACGAATGAGGTAGGTAAAAGTGTAGAAAAGAAGAAAAAGGAGGAAGACATCAGGAGACCTAGGAGGTGAGAAAAAGAGCGTGTGAGGGTCCATGGTGGACGCACCGGTGAGTCCTCCGATGACATTTCAGCTGCTAATTGGCAGCAGACAAAAGACAAGAGACCCTACTGCCAAGTACTGTATTCCCATGTCTTCCATCAGCAATGATGCTCAGTTTCAGTTGTCAGTAGGAAATAACTAAAGCAGGCCACAGATAACATCTTTTGTTTCCTATGTCTCCAGTACCTAGTGCATGTCTCTGTCTATAATAAACGTAGGCATTTTGAGCCATATGCTACCTAACGAACTCAAACTCAAATCCAAAATTCAACTTTTGTCTCTCTGTTTACCTACTTTTACTTTATTTACTTTGCATTCTAATAGTTACGGTTCTAATAGTTCTTATTATTCTACAAACACGTGCATATTAATAACTTGAAATAATCTCACGGGACAGATAATCTCAACAACTTTTTCATCATCATCTTTTATAGCTTGCTGGTGATCCTACATAAATCACTATCTGTACCTCAATTCAAACATCTATAAGATGGAAAAAATAATAGAAAACTTCAGAGGGCACTTACAAGTAAATTACTACAAGTGATTAAAAATTAACATGCCAAACGCATGTAAATATTTAATAAAATTCCCCTTTGAGAAGTAAATCTTTCCTGTAGCCCTAACGGTGATGGCCTTTGGAATGTGAGCGCGCCCTCTAGAGCCTTCATCCCAGCGGCAGCTTCAGTTTTACTTTCCAGCAAAAATCACTGTAACTGAGCACAAGAAATGCTGGAGGAAACATAGCTCTGAAGTGCTAAAGGAATCTCGAGGCCTTTCTTTAACGCATGTTCATCTTCAACTTGGGTGTTCTGGGTTTTCTTTTTTTATCTATTTCTGGTGCTTGGGAAGTCTTCGAAAATAAAACCGTTTGGGAAGGTAAAACCTGATAAAAGGTATAGCCAGGCTGTGGAAGACGAGAGTAGGAAGCAAGGCATACACAGCAGCTGCTCTGTAAGTAAAATTATGAAGAAATATATGATGGTGTCAAGCACACATATTGGAAAGCACTACAGTAGCTATCGTTCCTCAGTCCCCAGCCTAATTCACACTTCTTATTCCTTTGGGGACCTTCTCCCCCTGACTCTGTGTGGTAGTGGAGGTGGCAGTGGTGCTAGTAGCAGCAGTGACACTGCTGTTGATCTTGCTACAGCTGACAGGCAGATGAAATGAAAGTGCTAACCTCACCTGCTTGCAATGAAAGCTTTACAACAAAGCAGCAAGCTTCTCCTCTGAGTTAATGCTCTTAAAATAATAGACAGGGTACGATCCAATGTATGAATACCAGGAGAACAGAACTGAAAACTGCATGGGAGGTTATGCATAAAGTAGAAAACTCAGGGGAGAGCTTTAAGTATTAGAAAGCATTTTATCTGTATATGATTTAATAAGTCACTGAGATGGTAAAAATAGCTTTCCTCAAGTAACACCTTGGGCGTCAAACCCTAAGAAAGTAAAGAGAACCATTTAAAACCCTTTAATAATATCAAAACAAAAAACATTTTCTTAAGAATGTAATACTAGATAAGTCTAATATAGGTACAGGTGTGGGATAAAAAAAGACTTCAAAAATTGCTTCCTTTATATTAAGTGATGAAGCATCATATAGTGTGTTCGAAGGGACACAATTAGTGAAACTACCCTTTCACTTAAAGTTACTCTTTAAATCAGTTGATGTAAAGTTTTATACAGGGATAATCAAATGCAAATAGTGTATAGAACAGTAACCAGTATCAGCTCGCTTGGTGCCCATATTTCTACAAATAAGACATGAGACTCATTTGCCAAAGCTCCAGTCTACATAGCATTACATACCTGCTCTGAATACATCATGCTGGGCTAAATTCACTGACAGGCTGATTTTTGTATCAAAGAATTAAATGGCTACTTTAAGAAAATAAAGTTAATATTTAAACGCTTCCCTTCAATTACCATAAATACAGTGCCTAATTGTGCCTGTAGGCCTGCCAGGGCTGGTAATGATACACTCATTATACCCTCCTCAAATATTGATAAGGTAAAGAACCTTCTCTAGATTAACGAGACAGGGATTAGTTATGACAAAGGACAGCCCTTCAGAGTGGATATACTTGGGGGCCAGTGAAGGGGGAAAGGAGAGGGAATGTTATAAAATAATACCTCATGTTATGAAATAATATTTGGATGCTATGCCCAGGAAAATGTTATAAGTAGAGCTATAAGTCTATCTTGAAAGAAAAGTTCTAAATGCAGTATCAATTTCATATCCCATTTAAGAATAATTTTTCATTATTTTAAAATTAAATGAAGTAGGGTCTCTCAATATCTCTATCTACCTACTTACCTATCTATAAAACTAAGAGATTGTTTCATAATGATTAAAAGTTTGCCTATTATCAGTTTTTAAAAGCTCTGTAAGAAACAATGCCTAAATTACTTACAGTTACAGTAAAACCATACCTATCAAATTCTGAAGTTACTATTCACTAAAACTCTCAAATTGCAGTGAAATAGGCTCTCAGGTTACCTCCATCCCCTGCCCAGTAAAGCACAGGCAAAGATATAAAAGGCAAGAATTGAGGTTTTGCTGACTGGAGTGATTCTGAAAAAAATTAACAGCTTTTCCAAATAACAGCACATCTAGATGCGGTAGTAAGTAACAAGTTAACATCAACCAAAAAATATATAACAGTTCTCGAAGCATGGCTCTTAAAGGCGGCACTGAAGTAGAAAGATTCTGATGTCAGATGGGATAGAGAGTATGAATCTGGGCAAATTACCCAACTACCCTGGCTCTCAGTTTCCACGTAAGTAAACAGGAAGACAGTGAACTAAATAAAATTTTCATCTTAAAAATTCTGTAACCTCTATCCAATTCTCCAATCAATTGCATCGAATTATTCATTGAAAAAACATAGACAAAAGATTTTCATAGTGTAAAAGAGAACCCTGGTGCACTGTTGGTGGGGTTGCAAATTACTGCAGCCACTACGGAAAAGAGTATAGAGGTTCCTCAAAAAATTAAAATCAGAATTATACCATATGCCCCAGCAATTCCATTCATGCACAGTTTCCGGAAGAAATCCAAAACACTAATTTGAAAATATATATGCACCCCTATGTTCATTGCAGCATTATTTACAATAGCCAAGAGATGGAGACAACCTAAGTGTCAATCAACAGACTACTGGATAAAGAAAATGTGGTGCGTGTATACAATGGAATATTACTCAGCCATGAAAAATGAAATCTTACCATTTGTGACAACACACAAACCAAGACAGTATTATGCTAAGTGAAATAAGAGAGAGAAAGATAAATACCATATGATTTCACTTACATGTGGAATCTAAAGAACAAAATAAATGAACAAACAAAACAGAAACAGACTCATAGATACAGAGAACAAACTGAGGGTTGCCAAATGAGATGGGGGTCGGGAGCTGGGTGAAAAAGGTGAAGGGATTAAGGAGTAAAAATCGGTAGTTACAAAACAGTCATGGGAATATAAAGTACAACATAGGGAATACAGTCAATAATATAGTAATAATTATGTATGGTGCCAGCTGGAACACTAGACTTATCAAGGGGAGTACTTCATAAATTATATAAATGTCAAACCACTATGCCGCACACCTGAAACTAACATAAAATAATATTGAATGTCAATTGTAATTGCAAAACAAAACACAACAACAAAGAAGAATTTCATAGTAACAGACAGGCCACCACAGCTACTTCCCTTAGGCATTTAGTCACATTCCCCCTGAGGTGCCCTCAGAACTTAACCCCCAGTGGAGAGTTGAACTATAGTGAAAGGTGCCATTGGAACACTTTTTTGTTAATAATAAGTCATTAAAACAGCCAAACACTATTTCTCACAGACTTCTGAAAATAAACGCAATCTAACAACATTCTTGGAAGGAACAATGAAAGTGATTATGTGGCCGGTAGGAACAGTTAGATACTTATTCCAATCAGGAGGCAGTGAGAATCAAGAAAAAGATAACAGTATTCACGCTCCAACTCCAGGCTGAGTGCCAAATATCTTCGGGACTACTTATGCAAAGCAGCCA